ATTGGAAGGGAACTTTATAAAAAACTCATCCAACTCAACGCCAGAAAAACGAACAACCCAATTAAAAAATGGGCAGAAGATATGAAGAGACATTTCTCTAAAGAGGACATACAGATGACCAACAGGCATATGAATAAATGCTCAGCCTTACTAATTATTAGAGAAATGCAAATAAAAACCACAATGAGATATCACTTCACTCCAGTCAGAATGGCTATCATCAATAAATCAACAAACAACAAATGTTGGCGAGGTTATGGAGAAAAGGGAACCCTGGTACACTGTTGGAGGGATTACAGATTGGTGCAGCCACTATGGAAATCAGTATGGAGGTATCTCAAAAACTGAAAATGGGGGCCGGCTGAGTGGCTCAGTTAGTTGAGTTAGCTTAAGAGCGCAAGCTCTGAGCAACAGAGCCCCTGGTTTGATTCCCACATGGGCCAGTGATGCTGCAGCCAAGCTGAGCTGCCGTTGAGCTGCTGCTGAGCTGCCAACAGGTGGCAGGATGTCTCAGCTGGTGAGAGCACGTGCTCCTAACAACAAGGCTGCCTGTTCAATGGTGGGCTATAGCCGCCCAGAACTAAGACTGAACTCAGCACCTTGAACTGAGCTGCTGCCCAGGTGGCTCAGTGGATAGAGTACGCTTTTAACAATAAGGCTTCTGGTTCGACTCCCATGTGGGATGGTGGCTACGCCCACCCGCAACTAAGATTGTAACACAGCACCTTGAGCTTAGAGGCCACTAGCTGCCGATGGGCAGCCAGATGGCGACTGGCGCCCTCCACAACTAAGATTGAAGAACAACAACTTGGCTGGTCCCCCTCCCTAATTCCCCAACACTGTTCCCCTCACACAATTCTCCAATTAAAAAACAAACAAACTGAAAATGGAACTACCTTATGACCCAGCAATTCCACTTTTAGGTATCTATCCAGAGAAATCCAAAATGCTAGTTTGAAAAAATTTATGCACCCCTATGTTTATTGCAGTGCTATTCACAATAGCCGAGACATGGAAACAACCAAAATGCCCAAATAAGTCAGACGGAAAAAGACAAATACCATATAATCTCACTTATGTGTGGAATCTAAAGAATAGAGTAAATGAGCAAACTAATCAGGAACAGTCAGGGATATAGAGAGAAAATTGAGCGTCGCTAGATGGGAGAGGGGTGGGGATGAGGGACAAAGTGAGGGGATTAAAATGATGGGTGACCACAAGATTGCCACTGTGATACAAAAGACTGGGGAATATAATCAATAATGTTGTAAAGATTTTGTAGGGTATCCGATGGACACTTGTCCTATTAGGGAGACCACTTCATGGACGGTGTAGATGCCTGACCTCTGCAGTGTACACCTGAAGCTGAAGCGAATGATAATGAATGTCAACTATAATTATATATATATATAAAATATATATATTTTATATATATATATATGGTTGTCAGAAAAGTCATGACATATTTTTGCAACGAAAAACATAGGATATATTCATTCACAGGATGTGGAGTACAGCATAAGGAACAGAGTCAGTGGAACTGTAACAGCTATATACAATGTCAGAGGGGTAGTAGATTGGGGGAAGGGGTTATCACTCTGTGAGGGGTATAAATGTCTATTACATTGTTTTGCACATCTGAAACTAATTTCTAAAAAAAGAAAAAAACAAAGAAAAAATATATTTGAAAGGGATTTCCCAGCTATGGTGACATAGAGATCAGTGAGAAGTAGTCAGAAGAAAGTAGTTTAACATGATAGCGTTAAAAGATAAACTTAGGCATATTAAAACATTTAAGAGTTTATTTGAGCAAAAAACATTTCAAATTTTGGAGCCAGCTGTAGGTAACTGAGACTGGGACAGCCAGCAAAGGTAAGTGGACCTTTGATGCAATGGGGTTGGCAGGGGTAGGGGGCGGGGGTGCAGCAGAAGTAGGCATAACCATTCTCACAAAGGACCCCCAATGCTAGGGGAGCTGCTTGGGATGGATTCCCACATCTGCAGGAGCCTGTGGGGGCCACCACCTGTCCACCCCAAGCCCGCAGACCGTGAGCTAGGTCAGTGTAAACAGCCTAGGGAAAGGAGACCAAAGTTCACCACAGCCAGTCTCACAAAGAGCCCTCTGTGCCCTGTGCCCTTTTACCCTAATGCCAAAAAGCTGTGGGCACAGAAGGGGGAGGGGTGTCAGAGCAAGAAGACCACGCCCTCTAGCATTAAAGGTATAAATCAGACTGTGCTGAGGGGTGGGAGGGTGAGAGTTGGTGGGATCTGATTTGAACATGAGATAGACTTTTAAAATTCGAATAGTTTCGAATCTTAAGAACTGGAATGAAAGCGTTTTAACGATGGGGACTGAAAAGTTGGGGAATCAGGCTGAGCCAGAGTGGAGGGAGCCTGCCCCCTAGTGGGGACGGAACAGAATTGACAGCCAATGAGAACGACCTTCCCGTCCCCACCCTCACCCACAGGGGCTAATTTCGTCTCACTTTGCAACTGGGAAATCTGTGGCTCTGAAAGTTAAGTGATTCAGCCAAGGTCATGTCTACTAATGGCAATGCTGAGACTGAAGCCCAGATAGATGCTCTGTCCTCCAAGCCAGAGAAGATTGAAGCGTATCTCCTGGTAGCCACGTGGGGGCGTCCTCACTGCGGACTGGGAGGTTGGGGGCCTCTACTGGCTGTAACCTGCCTGATGCAGGATTTACGACGTGCGCTGCTTGTTCCCTAGTTTAGGAAAACTTTCTGCTAGCACTGTGGAGAGTGTGGGAAGAAAGTTAGCGGCAGTCCTGACCAGCACGGGAGGCAAAATCAGTTTTGGCTAGAGTGACAGCCCAGATGTAATCTTAGCCCTTTGTCCCATTAGGTTTGACAGCCCAAGGGTTGGTGCAAGTGTGTGTGATTGAGAAACGAGCGATATTGCGGCCTAATGTTCCTGGCGGAAGCAGCCTTGTAAAAAGGGAACGGAGGGATTACAAACCAGCCTCCCCTTGCCCCCTCTGCCTTCAAGTTCTGCCACAGGGAACACTCAGTTCTCAGCCCACCGCAGACATGGGGATGACCCAGCCCCCCCAGGAAAGGCGGGCCTCTAGGGCGAAGGCACTCTCAGTCAGCTCTGACCTGAACTTGCTAACACCGCCTTGCCCTGCCCTGCCCTTGGCTGAAAAGTTTTCCCACATCGGGGCATTTCCGCTTGGACCCTGGCCTCTTAGACTCACACTCAAGAAAAAGCAGGTCCAGACTCTAGAAAATGGGGGTTTGGGGAAGGTTTGCAATTAGGGGAGTAACTGGTGCAACATCTTACACTACCTCTTTCTCCTTGAGGTCTGTGACTGCACGCCCACTGACTCTTCTTTCTCCTGGTGGCTTCGCGTCAGTGTCCTCGGCTGCCGCCTCCTTCATAGACCCCCCGCCTCTTCCAAGTAAGAACTAGAAAACTCCATAGGGGTTTCTTCAACTAAGTACATTGGGAGTGATCAGGACTCATTCTGGACCCTGTCTTCTCCCCACACTCTGCAGAGGTGAGCTCAACTTCTCTCGTTCTCATAAGGACCGCTACATACCCATGACACTGAAATTCGTATATCTAGCCCAGAACTCTGGTCCCATTTGCCTACCTGATATCTTCATTTGTGTGTCTCACGAGCATCTCAAATTCAGTATCTTTCAAACTGAACTTACAATTCTCCTTTAGTAAATCCTATTGATTCTACCTCCAAAATACATATCAAATGTATCCATTTTTCCTCCATCTCTTCTGCTTCCACTCTTGCTTGAGCTCACGGCATATTTCCTGTTGAACTTGCCATGGCCCTTTTCCCCCTGACATGTCCTCTTAATGTGACCTTCAGCTCATTCTCCATAGACCCACCAGAGTAATCTGGTTAGATTGCAAATCCAATCATTTTAGTCCCGTATGTAAATCCCTGAATGGTACTGTATTCAGAATGAAACCTAACATTGTACCATGACCTGGCCCCTATCTACCTGTTAACCATTAGTGCTGCTCACCCGGGTTTTCATTCCTTCTCTCCTTCTAGGCAAATGGAATGATTGCACTTCCTCATACCCTTCAAATGGAGATAGGACCCTGTGACTTGCTTTGGATCATGAAATGTGAGTAAAAATGATCTGAAAGCCAGTACATGACGACTAATGCATATTTTCTTCTCCTGCTACAGTGATTAGGGAAACCAGTATTGATATGCTGGTGCCACAAGATTGAAGCAGCCTGCATTGCTGGTAATAGATATAGAACAGCTACCCTGGAGTTTGCCCAGATTCCCAGTGGATTTTTCATGACTGGGGGGGAGGGAAGCTTCTGTTGTGAGATTTGGAGGTTGTTTGTTACTGCAGCAAAACACACTATAGAAAGAGAGGTTAGTGGTGGGAATCCTTTGTAAAACAAAAGCAAAGGACAGACTTTTTTTTCGGATAATTTTCTTGTTTTTCATTAGATTATAAAAAGATTAACAACTGGCTCTTATTAATTATTCACCAAAAAATCACAATGAATTCCCAAATTGGAGTAAATTTCTGGGTGGTCAAAGGAGGAGGCACATACACATTTTTGACAGGTAATAACAATCCCGGTTAACAACTCTGGATGTGGGTGGGCAAGACTGGATTACCACGGGGGAGGGGGAGATGTGGGGGAAACTTTACAGAGAGAGAAGTTGAGATTGAGGAAAAGGCACCTTAGATGTGTTTAAATATCATTACTAAAGTTAAACATTAACCAAGAAAGACATACTTTATTCCCATCACCCAAGTAACACAGATTCACTTTGTCTTAGGTTTAAAATATGCCAGGAAGGATCTGAGTGATCCAAATTTGGCTGAAAAGTGAGCAGTTTGTGGGAAACACATATTTTCCAAACAGGAGCATTTCTTTGGCTCCTATTACTATATATCTTCAATGATTGGCAGCATTTAATAAGAAATTTGAAGAGGGAGGGAGACAGAAACAGAGAGAGAAGACAAATAGAAAGGTAGAAAGGAAGGCTGATAGTGGGAAAGGAAGGGAGGGAGGGAGGGAGGGAAAGAAAGACAGAGGGAAGGACAGAAGGAAATAAATCTGTGATGAAGCTGGTACGTGCAGTCTCAGGGAGAGGAAAAGGACGACCAACCCTTCCTAAAGACCCCTTAAACACACAAAAGAGGAGGTGGCATTGTTCTGACCCTTTGTATCCAGAGTGCCCCTACTTTGGGAGACTCAAGCTGAAATGGTGTGGTCACTACCAGTGAATGCAGTGACCTCTGAATGAGCTAGCCCCCAGGCAGAGCAACCAGAAAAGGGCAACTCGCAGAGGTCATCTTCTCCAGAACATGCGAGAAATCACCAGAAGATACTGAAATCAAACTTTTTTTTTTTAAATCCTTGTTTTTCATTAGACTATAAAAAGGTTAACAACTGGCTCTTATTCATTGTTCACAAAAAGAATCACAATGACTCCATGTCCGTTGGCTCTAGGGCACTGCTAAGGCATTCCATCGGCGAGGGTCCCTGTTTTATGTCTCAGACTCCCCCGGTTCTAGGGACTGAGCAGATGTCCTGCTGGACCTCTCCAAGGAATGGGCTTCCAGGGCTCCGTACCAATGTCTTCTTATAAGCAGAACGGGGTGGCATTGATCAGACAGCACTCTCATTCTGAACCATGAGCAGCCTGGCCTGAGCGATCTCTTCTTTTTTGAAGGACAAGACCTTGTGTCCACTGTGAAGTGCATTTCCCACAATCCCTATCATTGAGTTAGTGCAGTTCTGCTCAAAGCTAGAGGCCCTAGGTGTGGCTCAGCCTCCGGGGTTCTTGGATGAGACCAGAGATGGTCTCAAGGTTGGTACATTTGGCTGAGTAGAAAGCTTCAGGATGGGCCATATAAGCCCAGGTTCCGGGCAGCTTGGGAGATCCTGGGAGTTTTCCTCTGGGGAAATGGATAATGAGCTGGTTTTCCAGACCTGTGTGGGTTCTTTGTAGAGGAAGGGCACTGAATGCCAATGTTTAAGCCGGATCCCACTGCCTTTGTTTGGGTATTGGTCACCTGACACCCATGCTGGGCTGCCTCTGGGATCCTAGTCTCTTGCTGAGTCATCTGCTTGTTTTCAAACAAGCCTGGGTCTCCTTTCTGAAGGAGCCTTTGCTCAGGCCCCATGAGCTTGCCCTTGTGTTTTACTTGACGACCGGCTTCCTGGTGGAAGGTTTGGATCAAGCAGTGCATCTGTAGGTGTGTGTGCCATGGAGACTCAGGGGCCTGAAGACAGCTTCTGTCGGCCTCCTCGGGGATCCCCGTGGCCTTAGGGTCCACTTTGTCCAAGGACAGCGAGTGCCTTCTTTCCTTGTTAATCCAGACAGCGCTGACCATGGATTCAGCAGGAGCAGGCGCGTTCCCTCCTGAGAAAGCAAGGACAAGCAGGGTCACCACCGGACAGGACATGGGCAGCTCTCATTGTGGGGCTCAGAGCTTTCAAGCTTGAAAGGAGGCTATGCCCCAAACATAAAGGAGGCCAGGTACCCATACACTGCGTGTGTGTGTGTGTGTGTGTGTGTGTGTGTGTGTGTACACACATACATGGACACACACATATGTCCACACACAGGCACCCACTCCCACCCATGCGAGCTGTCTCTCTCTCTCTCTGTCTCTCTTGCACACACAGTTATTCATTCATTCAGCATACTTATTGAGCACTTATTATGTGCCAGCCATTATGTATTCTAGGTCCTGGGAATACAGCACTGAACACTGAGACAAAATCCATACCTTCATGATGTGTTGTAGTGGGGAGGAGAAACAAGAAGCAAATGAATATATTGTGAAGTTTCAGATGGTCACCAATGCTATAGAGAAAACCTCAAGCATAATAGAGTTTAATAGTAGACTTCAGTTTTTTACTACAGTAAGGGAGTGACCGCTAGGAGAGTGACGGGACTAGCATTTTCAAGCTGAAAGAAGCAAGACGTGCACATGTTCACCCACGTAAGGACTCACATCACTCACCAGTGGAAAAGGCTGATGGGATTTGTGTTCTGGGATCCGGGCAATGGGTTTACCATCCAGAGCACAAGAGGGGAGAGCTGTGTTTCGAAGCAGCTTCTCTCGGAGGACTGGCCTTTATGCTTTTAGCACATAGACACTGTCCTGGGGACACATCTGCAAAACCTAGTGCTTCCCTGAGCTGGCTTCAGGGGTGAGGATGCAGGCCCGTCTCTCTTCTTCCTCAGGGACATATTTTTACCTCCATGTGGAACATGATAGTTTACAGTCATCTCTTGGTGGCAGCGACGGTTGTGGGGATGACTGAAAGGTACATTCCTATAGAAAGTAGGTCTGTGACAAGCCTGCAGTTCCCTCTGAATGGTCAGTGAAGCCCATGGGAGCATGTTGGCATTTGTCACAGCAGGACGCCCTATAGGTGACAAAGTGCATGGGGAAGTGGGGAAATGGTGTCTGAGGAATCAAATCATAAGGAAGCCCCTGAGCTCTGGTTCTGGGAATCCAAGAGAAACAGGACCAGCGCAGCCATCTTTGCAACAGTGACAGCCCCGTAAACGCTAATTCCAGTGGTAGGGCTGAAGCTTTGTTCCTGCTTCGTACCTGCACTACTATTTTCTTAGTGTAACACACATGAAAACCTTTACAAGTATTCAAAACGCTTTGTACTTATTTGAGGACAGAGGAGGATGGGGACGTGATGCTTCCTTAATTCTCCATCTTTGGCTCAGGTTGCCAGAAGATACCAGTTGAGGAACAGGTATTTTGAGTTCCTCCTTGATTTCTCTCTTCAGCTGGGATGAAGGAATGGGGACTGGAGATGTGAAAAGAGGAGCTGCCTGACAGGGTTGTTGGGAATGTTAGAGGAAATGTACATATCAACCGCCCAGCCCCGATCTGAGCTCCCACCCCCACTCCCTTTCTACATGAGATGAATCACACATTGCCTGAATGTGACAAAAGCATATGCCTTCTGGACACCAACCACTGGGGCACAGGGGCTTCCTAGACCTCAGCTCACGGTTCCATGGTGCCCTCTTGTTGCTCCAGGACAACCATGCTGCTACTTGGAACCGCATTTCTAGAGCCTAGATCCACTCTGTAATGCTGAGGCAGAATGAAGAAAGCTAATTCCAGGGTCCTTCCTTCCATTCACCAGCTCCCAGAACACCTGCCCTTCCAAACACAACCCAATGTCTTGAGACACAGTTTTTAGCGGGAGCCAATCTCAGTGGCCACTTTGTCTTCCTGGGTCTCTCTGTGGACTGGACACAGAGCATCACTATCTTCTAAATTCCCTCTGCTCACTTGACTAATCATGACATTAATATCTCCTGGGGGGTTTTTCCCTACCATTTAAAAAATATTTAATTGTGGTAAAACACACATGACATGAAATTTACCATTGTAACCATTTTTAGGGATACAGTTCAGTAGTGTTAAGTACATTCATATTGTCATGCAGCTGATCTCCAGAACTTTTTCATCATCCCAGACAAAAACTCTGTACCCCTTAAACCACACCCGGACTCTGTTCCCCCTCCTCCCTGCTCTTAGCAACCACCCTTCTACTTCCTATGAATTTGACTCCTCCAGGTACCTCCTAGAAGTAACAGCATACAGGATTTGTCTTTTTGTGACGGGTTTGTTTCACTTAGCTTAATGTTTTCAAAGTTCATCCATCGTTATACAGGCTCAGCACGTGTCAGAGTTTCCTTCCTTTTAAAGACTATGATATGCCTACTCTCTCTGTCTTCCTTCACGTCTCTTCCTTGGCTTGTCCCATTATGAATTCAAGTGTCTGGAATATTCCAGAACTCTAATTTTCATCCCATCCTCTTGTCAATTTACACATTGAGCTGCCACAATTTTACCCCATGTCCACAGTTTCAACTACCACCTGTAGGTTGATGACCCCAAATCTATATCTGCAGCCCAGATATCTCTCCTGAGATGCAAGCTGGTTGGAAGTTCTACAGACAACTATCTCAAATGCAGCATATTCACCAACAAATTGATCTTTCCCTACCGAATATATTCCCTGTCTGAATGAATGGCACCCCCATATACCCTGCTGCTAAAATATAGGCAAAATTGCTTTTTTGTCTCTCTAGCATTATATTCATCTTATTTTTGTAAACTTACCCTGATTTCTCCCTGGAAAACTATAACTATCTTATTCTTCACACCCAGTCTCAGTGCTTTAAGTGTCCTTCCAACTCAGACTAATGAGATATAAGTGACCTGGTTCTCAGCCTATCAGCATTAACGCCCTGATGAGCTTTGTAGGTATCAATCCACTTAATTCCTACAACAACCCTATATTTTAGGTACTACAGTTATTCCTAATGGACAGATGAGGAACCTGAGTCACAGAGAATTTATATAACTTGTTCAAAGCTGTACATAGCAAGACAGTGGCAGAGCTGGGACTCCGGTCCTTCAGAGACCAAGTACAACACCCCTCCATCAGGCAGTGCGTGACTTCTCACAATTAGAGAAAAATGCAGAATTGTACACTGTTAGAAGTGCCCTAAAAGGCCCGGATGTAGCCTGGGGGTCAGAAGTCATCTCTGAGAAAGCAGCAGCCTGAGCACTCCTTGCATTAATATGCCCTAAGGTATCACTTGGTAATGACAGGGGAGGGCGCTCTGAGTTGCAGAATGCAGGAGAAACGGCCAGAGGGAGGGTTGCGGACAGGGCATGGTGACTACCACGGGGCATGTGGAGTTTGAGCTGGCTTTGGGACGTGCCCATTACATGGATCTGTGAGTCTGAATCGCAGGTGTGTTAAGCATGGTGCTTTCATTTGATAGGGGTTTAATTTAATAAGTGTTTGCTGAGTGACTGAATAAATAAACACCCTTGAGGATGGGGTAGGGCTTTGAGAACCTTTCCCCTTATGCCCTGCAGAGATGGGAGGGTGGTGGTATTTGACTGTGCCAACTCAGTTCGAAGGGATCCCACTGGTTGGCAACAGCCTTAGTAATGTGAGATGGGTGCTTTCAGCTCAGAAGTGCCACTTTTGTCTCCAAAAGGCCACACACATACTTCCTGTCCCGGGCAGTGAGGTCCCTCTGGCCCCAGATTTCTTCCCAGCCTACCTAGTGCAGGGTGGGTCACTCAAAGAGTCCTGAACTGTGCAAATCACTGTAGAAACTCCCAGGCACAGCCTTGACCTCTGAGGGGACCTCCTCACCTCCTTTAACCTGTTCCTCTGTTAGAGGATGAAGGGCTGGGTTTGACAATCGCATGATTTCTGAGCCATGTGCTCCTAACTTCCTTCTGGAATGAAACCTGCGTTCCCAAAGGGCAGCGGTTCGCCCCTTGGAAGAAGGGGATTCTGTGTCTCCTGGCACCTCCCTGGCTGCTGCTTGAGGCTGCGATGACGGAGCTCCCTGAGGCAGGACCACTCCTGGGTTCCTGAGCCCCGTGCTTCCTCTAGCCAGTGCCCTGGCTGTTGGGAATGCCATGTCTTCTCTCTCCAGAGCCAGCCTCTCAGCTTTGCAGGAGGTGCCTGGGTGAGACCAGCCAGGAAGCTGAGCTCCCATCTCCCCACCTGGCTTAGCAGGGGGGCCAAGCCCAGCTCACCAGGCAGACCAGTCCAGCAAGATCAGATCATAGGAGCCGAGGCCACGGAACAGCAGGCTGCCGGCCAGATGCCTGGCTGAGGCCCCTGGCTCTGTTGGTAGGGGGACTGAGCCCCGTGGAACTGCCCTGAACCAGCCTCCCTGCTCTAGCTCTAGCTCCAGGTGGCCTGCACTCCAGCTCTTCCCCACCAGGAGGGCCAGCAGAGCTCCGGTTCTGCCCTGCGGGCAGCTCAAGCCTTCACTCCCCTTCCACCCCCAGCCAGGCCCCCCTCCCCTCCACTGCTGCTCCCAGGACCTGCCCAGCCCTACCTTTCGGCAGTACCACCAGGTGAGCCTGGGCCCTCTGCTGCTGCCTCAAGCCTTCGTACTGGGCTCGCAGGAGTTGGATGCTGAGTGGGGGCCCTTTCCCCGGGGCCTGAGTCCTGGAGCTGTCAGCCATGAAGCGAGACCCCACCTGCCAGAAGTGGGCAGGGCAGAAGCATTGGCAGGGCAACCCCTTCATCCGGATCCGGGAGAAAAGCAAACACTGATGGGAGGGGTAGGGGGCGGGGTGGGAGGCGGCTGGAGCAAAAGGGGATTGGGGAGGGAAGGTGGGAAGATGCGGGGGAGGGAG